ATTTTTTGAAGCTGGCATCATTGCTCAATTTTCTTATCCATACACGTCTGCTCAAAATGGACATGCAAAATAAAAGCACCGATGTATGGTTGAAACTAGATTAAGCCTTTTAGCTCAAGCCCATATGTCGTTAGTCTACTGGTGGGAATCCTTTGCAACTGGTGTTTATATTATAAATCGGTTACCTACGCCTGATCTAAATAACAAGTCTCCATATGTGGTTTTATGGCATAAGTCTTCAAATTATGGTAATCTTAAAATTTTTGGTTGTGAGTGTTATCCTTGTTTAAAGCCTTACAATCAGCATAAGCTTCAATTTCACAATGAACGGTGTGTCTTTTTTGGGTATAGTGGCAATCACAAAGGGTTTAGATGTATGGCTCCATCAAATCATGTTTATATTTCTCGTCATGTCATTTTTAATGAGAATGGGTTTCCCTTTACAAGTGAGTTTTTATCAGATAGTGAAGTTTCACCAATTGTTCAATCCATTGATAATTCATCTGAGTGGTTTGAAGTCTCAGAATTTGCTTCTCCAGTTTCTTCTTCTGTATTTGATACTTCTATGTCTAATTCATCACTTTCACCATTGGGTCCTTCACTTTCTTTTGTCAGTGACTCCTCTGATACCAAGCGAGAACTAAATAGTAAATTTAAGATTTGAATTACACACTCTGTATTTGATAATATACAGAGGTGTTTTGCCTTTTATTTATAGAGATAACCAAGAGAAAGTCACAATAGGTTACAACAAGAAAATAACTACAAAGCAAATAACACAAACTGAATGACAACATCAGGTGAATAGTTACAACAGCCATGCACTAATCTACGTCTTAGACTTGAACTTGGGCTTTGCTTTTGTAAGCTCATGATTTATCTTATCAATTACAAAGAATAATATATACATCAATTAAAAAATATATAAGTTTTTTATATTTTAATTAAATAATTACTAACACAACATTAAAATTATATAATTTCCCTCAATGAAAAAGAAAACAAAAGAAAGGGAAGGGGGTAAATTACCCATCACCACCACAAAAATTCAAAGATACAGTGTTTGGATTAACTAATAAGGAGGTCAATTTAATTGAATGAAAAATCTTATATCCAAATTTAGATATATACAGCAATGATTAAATTCTTTATGAAAGACGTACTCTCAAAGAGATGCTAACAAATTACTATGCTAATAAATTACTATTTTGATTAATGTGGTTCAAAAATCCCTGACAGGATATTTGAATCTTGATACTTTTGAATGCAATAATATAGTTAGAAAAGTTTATATTTAATTTTAATATCTTTAAAAAATATTTTTTTTCTATCCATGAGGTGTAGTACCCATGCTTTGAAAAGAAGGGCTGCTTTAAAGTCATGTTAATTTGTTAGGACATGATATTTTCAAACAAGTGGATAGGAAACTTATCCAAACAAAAAATGTATGGTCTACGTGTTCTTCAGTTATAAAAATCATTACTTTATGGATAAAGATCAATGTGTACCAAATAAATTTAAAATGTTGTCTTTTTGCTCAAATAAAAAATGTACCAAGTAAATTGAGGTCCATCAGGCCGTTTCAAAAATTTAAATTAAATTGTTCTGTTCATATGCCCACGTTTGCACTCACACACGTTTATTCGTTCATACATGCAGCAGTATATGATATGACGATGTACTTATCCAACCAACTGAATTTTATATAATTTTTTTTTACAAAATAAAAATAAAAAATAAATAAATTATCGTTATTACAACATCGACTTTCTAAACGCCCAGTGAATATACAACATCCCCTCAATCTGCTTTTCAATTTTTATTATTGCAGGGACTTATAATTTATTTTTTTTCCTAAAAACCTTGTAACAAAAATTACTTTATGAAGAATAAAAATAACACATGGCTGAGGAAGTTTAGAAGGAAAAAGCTCATTCTGGTAATTGGATCATCTTGAATAATAGACGCCGGGGAAAAATTTTTAAAATGGTAATTATGTCTAAAAACTATCTTAATAACAATTAACTAATAAAATAATTATCTATAACAAATAGTTTTTTATTTACAAGTTACAAATTTATAGAGAATAACTTGCAAATACTCTTGCGATGTCCATTTACTATTAAATATGTTTTTTGGAGCCCTGCTATAATTCTCTCACAAAGTACATTATGATCACTAAAAAACTTTATATTTGTAGTTATCATTTAATATTTTTTTAGTTTAAATTATTTTTATAAAAATATGCAAGAGAAATTTTCATCGATCCTTCTTAAGTTCTGTTGTTTTTTCTTAACCATGTAATCAAGCACAGTATTGGGATTGGGAAACCTTGGACCTCTTTTTTTATTTTCCACCACTTCTTAATTTTTTAAAAAAATTGGCAATTTAATTCTTCAAGAATTATTGTTAGCTCGTTTTAGTTTTTCTTAATATAGTGTCTTTCAATTTATTATTTCAAAAACTATATCAATCCAAATGACAAGCTTGATCATCAAGGTATATGGTGTGGTGTAAATAGAAGTACATACATGATTTAAATTCTCTTCAGTTAACCCAAAAAAAAGTTGTTCTATATTTAATATTGATGTAACAGGTTTTATTTCTTTTCTTGGTAGGAGATTTTATTTTTGAATTAAGAGTAAATGAATTTTCAAATAAGATATTAAGTTCATGTATCACGAAGAAAGAATAAAAATTTAGACATGAGAGAACCTTCCTTGTGTGAAGCTGCTGGAATCTACTCCTTCCTCTCTCTTTTTTTAATATTTTTAATAATTTTGCCATGACTGTGGAATCTAATTTAATAACATCGAATGCTATATATGATATACGTAAAATTATTTAAAAGATAAAACAACGACTTCGATAACTGTTTATTCCAATTTAAAATAAGTGAAAGTACAAAGCTAGCGTTTAGAAATAGTGCGAGAATTTCAAAAAACTTTGTTGGTCGACACAACCAAATTAACAAAACTTTTTGAGTCTATTAATTAGTTACGAAGGAGTCGTCTTAAACAAGTGACACGTGGGGTATAAGCCAGCTAAGTGTGGGAGAAAATCACAATTGTCAATTATGAATTATTGATGAGTGCAAAATATCACGACTCGTCACATTCATGCATAGCATCTTTGTTGGTTGTTTGATTCTTTAAACTGGACGTTTGGTTGGGATGTCTGCACAATCAACAGGAAAATGATTTTTTAAATTAACGTCACTTCTCACGTTATATTGATTTTTTATTTAGAAGTGTTCGCTTTTTTCTGCATTTAAATACAGTTATGCGAGTTTTTTCTTACTCTGTTTCTTTCTTTTTTAACATCAATACTCGAGAGTCATTTCTACCCGAATTCCACATTTTCTTCTATTTTTTGACCCCTTTTTTTTTATTACATGGCTCAAATCATCATTTTAAAAAATTCAACTACAGACTTAATATGATACTCTCTCCATTTCAAATTATATAACACTTTTAAAGAAGTTTCTTCATCCTAATATATAAGACAATTTGAGTAAATTAAGATTTCATTAAATGCATCAATTTTAATATTATTCTTTATTTCTCTATAATTAATTTTCATCCCTTCTCTTTTCAATATATTAAATTATGAGTATTTTTAAAATTTTACATTTTTATTTTGAAAAAATAAAATTGTTAAGTATGTTTAATAAAATTTATTTATACGTAAAATTTTATCTAAAAGTGATTTATAATTTGAAATAAATGGAGTATATTATATTGGAAGGTGTGTGTGTCTGTGTATAATTTTTCATTTATTCCACTGAAAAAATAAAATATGAATATGATTTTTAACTTAATGTTTTATGGTTAGTTGTTAAATTATTTTTATACATGTTATAAGTAGAAATATGAGTAGCTTTTAAAAGAAAAATCGGAGCCGGCCCTTTTATAATATCAGCGGCATGACTAGCAACCGATTCATAATTGCACTTTTCAAAATTGGGCATGGACCATGGAGTAATGGATTAATCAAGACAATGGAGAATCAGATAAACCTAACAACACGTCAGCAATAAAAAATAATACTTATACAAAATAATATTTGAAATTACTATCATGGTTAACCATTAATGTTACGTTGGTGTGTTTGAAAGGAATCCCTTTTCTATCAGCTCTAATTCATTACCCTTTTCTTTATTAATTATGACCAATAGCATGATGCTAATTTTTCATGTTTGCATGTCCTTATAACTTCACGCTGTTTTGAATTAAATTCCTATAATTCATTTTGTTTTGATCATCCTCTTATAATTTAATCGATTATATATGTTAATCCCAAAAATGTAAAATTTTTGAAGCTTTTTTTAAAATAAAACTGATTAAGAACTTGTATATTTTTTAATATATATAAATTTGAAAATAATAAATAATAATTTTTATAATTTAGATTTTATATACAGGTTATGCTTTCTAATTTTTCACATAGGTAGAATTTTTACAAAAATTTCAATAAAAATGTAAATATTGTATTAAATTAACCTTTTCTTTCTTTTTTAGCCAAAATGATTGCATTAAATTTTATATAAATTTTAAAATATTAATTATTTATTAATAAGTTCAACCTCCAGAAGATCTAGAAGATAAAACTTTAAGAATTGAGTTGAGTTGAAATAAAATAAGTTACAAAGATTTAATTTAAAATTTAAAAAAAAACTATAAGAACTTATAGATAATTTTCTTTTAGTGTAATATGTTTCTGTAAGAAATCCTTGCCATCTAGATTTAATGTAAATAGTTCAAATTCATGATATAATATTTTTTTTTGCATTTTATTCTTTAAATTTTTAGAGAATTAAAATATAGAATAACAATAATATTTTGATTCTCAACTTGTTAAAAACAATAATTTACGATTTTTTTTTTTTCTTGGGGCTGTTGGGGAAAACAGGAACAGAGAGAAACCAGTTTACAGTTGCCCAGACTTTTTTTTTTTTTTTGAGCAAAAACAGTTGCCCAGACTTGACGCAAGAACTGGAAAAGAGGCAATGCAATAATTCAAGCTGAGCATTGCCCACTATTTAAGCACATCGAACTTCCTCCTCCGTCGCTCTCATCTCTCAAACCAAACACGACTCAGATCACTATGACTCAACACAATACCACTGAACCAGAAGGAGAAGCTTCCATTCATGGAGACGTATTGGAGGCCATATTCTCCCACGTGCCTCTCATTCACCTCCTCTCCGCCTGCCACGTGTCCAGGTCCTGGAACCGTGCTGTTTCCTCCTCCCTCGCTCACCTCAACCCCATCAAGCCCTGGCTCATCCTTCACACTCACAGCTCCAGGTCTCCTCACTTTACTGCTACACACGCCTACGACCCTCGTTCCCATCTCTGGCTTGATATTCGCCGCCCAGAGTCACCGTCCGTCAAACGCGCCTCCGCCCTCCGGTCATCCCACTCTACTCTGCTCTACCTTCTGTCTCCCACCATTTTCGCCTTCTCCTTCGACCCCCTGCATCTCACGTGGCACCACGCCGACGCCCCCCGCGTCTGGCGAATTGACCCGATTGTCGCTCGTGTAGGCCACCTCATCGTCGTCGCCGGCGGTGCCTGCGACTTCGAGGATGATCCCCTCGCGGTGGAGATTTACAATCCAGGGACCCGCACCTGGAGCACGGGTCCTTCCATGCCGGAGATCCTAAAAGATTCCACAGCCAGTATGTGGCTGTCCGTTGCCGTCGACGAGCAGAGAATGCACATGACGGAGAAAAACTCCGGCGTCACATACTCTTTCGATCCGAACGCCGAGATCTGGTACGGGCCGTACGATCTTCGACCCGATCAACGTGTGTACTCTTGCGTCATTGGAACTCTCCACGGGAGCCTGATCGTGGCGGGACTGGTGGGCGACATGGAGAATTTGAAGGGTGTGAAGTTGTGGGAAGTGAGGGGCGAATTGGGGAAGGAGTTCCGGTGGATGGAAATGGGTGAGATGCCGAACGAGATGGTGAAGAAACTGAAAGGAGAGAGTGAACGTGTGGCGTCAATAGCGATGAACGCGATGGGGGATTTCGTGTATATTCACAATCCATCGGAGCCGGCGGAGATGATCGCCGGCGAGATTGTGAACGGGATCTGCAAATGGAGGAACGTTCGAAACGTAGTTATGAAGGACGAATCTCTAATGCAGGGAATGGTGGTGGGGTGTAGTGACGTGGGTCTGTGGGATTTGCAGAAGGCGGTTTCTGAGAATCGGAATTTGGCCGTCAAAGTTCACGCTTGAAGCTAGAGAAAGCAGATCCTATCACGTTTGATTTACGCTTGGTTCGCCGAGTTTTAAGGAAAGCCTGTGATTGAAAAGAGAGGAATTGATTCTGAAATGATGAGTTCACCAATATAATTACGTGATAATTGACGAGGTTTGGATCGTTGATTTTGTGATCGTAAAGAATTGATTAGAATATTCGGATGAATGACTGACTGTGTTGTCCAAAATAGTGCGGCTCCGGCACCGTGACAGCCGTGACAGAATGAAAAAGCGTACTTTTAACTTACCACTTATTAACTACGACCGTATTTGACCTTTCACTGAAAACAGTAGCTGGGTTGGGCATTTCAAGCCATTTAAAATCAAATCCTTATTGAATCAGATAAGGCAGTTATTCAAATACCAGTAGTTGGAGTTCAAGATCAAGTAAATCATGATTAAAATAATATAATTTAATTAAAATATAATCTTTTAATTTTAAATTATAAAATATTTTTAAATAAAATTATAACAATTAATATTTATAAAAAAATTATTTTATCTGTTGTATTTATTAACCTTAAATTTTTTTTATTTATGAATTTACAACTTTCTTATAATAAATTGAAACTAATAATAAAAAGAAAAAAGTACTATATATTTTTACAATAGTAAAAATTTTAATGGTGCATGAATTATTATCAAAAGATAATTGAAACTAATAATAAAAAGCAAAAGTAATATATATTTTTACAATAGTAAAAATTTTAATGGTGCATGAATTATTATCAAAAGATATTCATATTTTAGACGGAAGGGAATAATATTTAAATAAGAAAGTCATTAATCTACAACTAAATATAACATTTTTTTTATATAAACCATACATCATCTAATAAAACAATATCATTTCAGACAAAGTAAAGGGACGAAAAAAATATAAAATCCGATCCAATAGACATGTTTGAAATTATTCACCCAGCCAGAAAATTGGTTCATCAATTTACTGATTTGACCGAACCAACTCAAATTGGTCACGTTGATGAGAAAGGAAAGAACACTTGCAACTCCTCGCGACCTTGGACTTCTAATAATGTCTAATCACCCATTAATAAAGCCATCTAAAATGTATTTTTAATAGCGATTGAGTCAATTGCAGTTTAATGAGGATTTATCTACCCTCACAAGCCTCCTAGAGATGAGAGGCTTGTAGGAACTCATCAAGCCCATGCCACGGTTTTCCCGCCCCACAAAGTTCTTGGCGTGGTAGGCCTCGATGAAAGTGTCATGACCTAGAAGATGACTGGGCTCGTACTTACCATGAAGCAACAATGAACATGGCAAGAATCTTTGCTTTCTCGCCTATGTTTATCAATCAATAACAAATCAAACCTCAATAGAAATGCAAAATCTGATCTAGGCATATTTACAGACGAGCAAAATTATAAACAGATCAAAACACAGAATGAAGTGGGTGGCCTGAGGTTCACTCTTTTCACTTGGTGGGCCTTCCCACGTCAGCATAGGTCCTCTCGTCACAGGCATTGGAGAAGGAGGAGAGGAGAGAGACGAGTGAGGGGGAGTGAATGCTAGAGGTTTTTTTGGTAAATGCTCTTTAAAATTTAATTACAACTAAAACTCACGGGGCTTTGGAATCATTTCTACATTTCATGGGATTTTTTAGTTATTAGAATTCATATGTGGGACTTCTCTGTGATTTTCCCTTATTTATTTTGTACGGGATTATTATTTGATTTGCCTATCCAAAATATGAAAATACTCGTAAATATAAAATATCTGAAACCAGGGACCACGTAAAAAATATCGCCAATTTCAGTCACATGGAAGGCCTGTGAAGCAGAGTCGATCAGCTCAATAAAGGACAAGGCCCTAATTAAGATTTTGACGAGAGAAATGGGCCTCTGCCTCGTGCCAATGTTCTTTTATTATATAGTGTGTGTGAGTGTGAGTGTGTGTTTTTGCTTTTGAAAATACTTTAACCGTCCTCCGTCCATCTCCAGGACCGACACTAGTTTTACTTGTTTTTCTTTTCCCTGGTCTGAAAGCTTTAGTTTAAATATGTACAACTTTTGTCATCTTATTGTATTTTTGAATTTCTGTGTAAACAATTCTGTGAGATTTTATAATCTTTTATTATAAATTGATTTATTATTTTATCAAAAAAATATGACGCACCAGGAGTATTGCATGCATGATTCATTATTAATTGCAATTATGAAATGTAGGATTATCTCGTTATTGAAATAGTATTTTTATCAGTGCAATGCATTATTAATTTGATGTTTGAACTTGGGCCTTGTTCGGTTGTCTGAAATGGGCCCTCAATGCTGGCAGTAAAATGGGCCCTTAATAAGTTAGTTTGGGTGGCTGAATTTTTCTGGGATGACAAAGAGCAAGTTAAGGGTATTAAGATTGATAACTATTTATTTACATTTTTTACAATCTCCTCGTTGTTTCTGATCCAATCCAACCAAATATAAATTTAATCATCAAATTATTTTTCTTGTCAGTAACATGCCAATCTAAGAAGAAAAAAGATGCATGAGAACATGAAAATGGGAACCTAACTCAGAATGTTCTATAAAATATTACATGGCAGAATATTTTGTAAAAATTTGGAACCTAACTCAAACGAGAAGAAGGAAAGAGACTTTTGTGAGGTGTGTGATTCAATTTCATCAAAATGGAATGAAATGCTTTTCCTTTAGCTGGATTTGGACCACTTTGTTCCATGACTTCCCCCAACTGAGACCCACCAACCACCCCCCACGGCCCCACTCACTCGTATCTCTTCCGTCATCCGAATAATATTGAAATTTGAGTTAACCAGTCCAGTTAGAACAACCTGTCTTAGTGACCGATTTTGTTTTCTTTTTTAGTGCCTTAGTCTCCGGTCTTCATTATCGCTTGGGATTGCGGATTCCACACTGTATCTCTCCCTCCTTGTTTCTTTCTTTTTCTTTTTTAATATTTTGGACATACAGGCGATTCTTCTCCGACACTCACCACTGCTGCTTCACTCATTTGAAGGGAAATATCTTTTCAGTTTACCCACGTCACTGTAACATTTTTACGTGACAAAATCTCTTGCAATTTGTTGTTTTCCTTAATATACTAGCTACGGATTTGCTGGTTTTACGTTGGATAGTGATGTGATGAAGGGGGGAGATATGGGAAGCACGTGGTTGACTGAGATAGGGACAATGATATGAATGTTTAATTTCTATAACATTAGCAGAAGAAGCTTTTTTGTTCTCTTTCTTTTTTCAGAATTATGATTGAAGAGCCTGAGTTTTACAGTGGAGAGGGAAGAGATGGGAATCACGTGGTGGTTGACTGAGAGTTGTTGTTCATTTTGGCTTGATTGCAATAATTACATGTGTTTAATTTCTGGTTCAAGTCGCTAAAACTAATCCGTTGCTCCTCTACAATGGCTTCAGGGAGAGCGAGAAGAAGAAGGATGGCCTTGGAATTGGCGTTGAGAATGAGAAGAGTGGCTTGAAAGAGAGGGAGAGAATGACGCCTGTGTAATTGGTCAAAAAGCAAATATTTGACGATCAAACGTTTGGTCAAATTAAAGATAGGACAGTGTTACATCCTCTTAGAAAGTTTTAGGGCAAAATTGTTTAAAAAAAAAGAGTTTAAAATACCATTTGCCTTTAAAGAAAACAATTTATAGCATCTTTGTGCTTCAGCCCAATTTTATTTATTAAGTATGTGTACACGTAGGGTGCTTCATTTTCTTAATATCATAAACAGATTAACAATATTTTGTAGTTTGCCTCGCTTCAAATCATGGTAACTATCTCATTGAATTCTATCTTATAAGTATTCACAAGTTTTCAAACGGAATGAAGCTCTCGTCCGATGTTAAATGTATAAATAATGTGTGATGTCTGGATTTTTTTTTTCCTTTGGGTATTGAGTTGCTAATAATTTAGAAATAAGAACGTTGAAAGAAAGAAATGAATCTTTCCGAGTGTGTGTTTGTCTCTTATCTCTCAACCATATAAACGCTAGTTCAATACTTAGTGAGATCTCAATAGAAGTTTGAGACGTTGGAGGGGACAATTGAATTGGTGTCTGAATTTTGGGGTCATCCTCACTTTAGAAGGAGTTGTTTTACATGCAAAGCAGAACGAAATCAACAAATAGTTTTGTATTTTCACTTTTAAAAGTTTTAAAAATTATTAATTATATATAAAAACCATGTGAAAATTTTTAAAAAATTAAAATCCATTTTTAACCAAGAAGGGGGAATTCTTTTCTCTTTTTTTTGTTTTTTAAAAAATTGTTATAATACAAAAATATAATGAAATTATGTTAACAAGAGTTTAAAACATTTTTTAATTATTTCAAGGCACGTTGTTACATAAAATATCTTGTTCGAATTTTCTCATTTAGAAAGGAATCTAGTTCAAATATTTAACACAAGATTCAATACTCTCCAAGTATATGCAGATTTTTTTCCATTAAAAAAATAAGCACGTTTAAAAAAGAAACAAGGTTCTATAGTCCCAAAAGTTGGCAATGTGAAAAGGATACTTTATAAAGAAGCATGATAAACATAAACGCAGCATGACATAATGAGAGATGCAAAGCATGAGTTTGACCCATAATCATGACACGTCGCCCAAAACCCGACAACACAAAAGCAACATCGTCTTCCACTTCGATTCCCCCCCCCCTATAATTCACTTGTTTTCCTTTTAGTTGAATTTACACAACACGCCCCAAATTTAGTGAACCTTACTATTCATTTATATAAAATTCAAAACACACCAATTCCATGAAAGCTATCTCCTTTATTTAAAAGAAGCACTCTTGAAATAATTCACCTGTAATTAAATTTTATTAATAGAATCAAGAAAATCTCTGTGTAAAACTGGATTGTCATGCTCATCAATCATTATTGAGCTAGAGAAATAAATGTTTACGCTGGCTTGTTTGCTCATCAAGTTAACTGTAATAACTTTGATAGTAGGATTATTGAAGGAGAGTTCTTCCATGAGTGCAGGGATGTTTTGTTTTATAATCTGACTTACTATTGTTTCTCTTGAAAGGGCATTTTCATGTTTTGCTCAAAAAGAAAAGAAAAGAGAAGAGAAGAGATGAGGAATGGCATTTTCATGGTACTGTTTCATTAAAAAAAAACGTCATATAATATGAAATTGCATTGATGCGGTAGGTGAAATAGCAAAACTAT